ATCTTTTCTCCTCGCTTCCCTTCACTTCACTACCCTTTTCTTTATTCCCATTCATTCTTCTCTCTCCTCTCCATTTTATTCCTTGCTTTTCCTCTATTTTTGTTTTTGAATTCTCATTTTCTTTCCTACTAATTTAACACAGGAGAAAGTCAATGGATTCACTTGCCGCTGATCAAAACCATGGTCGATTTCTGTCACACTTTGTTTCCTAGTGTTTCYTATGGCTATACAACRATTCCTACATACCCTTCTGGTCAGATAGGATTTATGCTCTGCAGCAAAAATAAGGTGAGATATTTTTGGTTGATCTTTCAATCCATGGGCTGCATACACTTATTTCAATAAAGTTAGTCGCCTGAAATGCTACAAAGCTGAATCCCACTAGGATTATGGGTAGATACATTTTACATGTTTCAACCGCTTGATACTGTAACTGTTGATGGACTTGAGATCTTTTACCAGTTACAAGTTAACCTCCTCTGAGCATCCTCAACTGCTGCAGTTTTTGTCAAAAGCTTTACTTGTTGAATATGAAATGTTTCCCATTATTCTCAGCGATCACAGCTTTCTAGGTTTTTGTTGACTAACTTTGTTGAAATAAGTATATACTAAGGCTGCTTAAACTTTCGATACTGTCAATAAATGTTTAAGTCTTAATACCTATATTAAGTGGACACCTTACTTAGGACCTTGTCTGTTGCCTGCTTGATCAAGGTTGTACGCTGAATAGAGGTTTGTTTTTATCTTACTGCAAATATACAGCTTTTTCAAAAAGGTTGGTGAAGGTTTTGTTGCACGTTGCATACCAAACCCAAAATGCACTATGGATGATGTGAATTCAATCAGTGAAAGGTCACAACAATATGGACTTTTTCCAAACTTTATCTGCAGCCTGTTTTTCTAGTATATTTTCTTCTGTGCTGACATTAATTACATTTTAAAAAATCATGATGGGATTTAACAGCAGAATTCACAGAGTGGCTCTTCTTCCAATGGATTATAATTGGAGTTTAAAAGTTGATTTTTATGGAGGGAGGAAAACCGGAGAAACTAGAGAAAAAAACCCGGAAGCTCTGCTATGCCACATGGGCTTCCCACCATGCTTTGCATTATGTGAATATAATATATTTTAAGCTTGTAAAAAAACTACATTCAACATGCAAAAGGCAAAAAAAAAATTCACCAATCTTTATTGCAATAGGTATATGGTAAAAAAATATGGAACCTGTTCAGCTGATATTCGTTGTAGTATGAAGTATTTATGGCCTGCGCTGATTGTCCTTCTCGATTTTCTGTTAAACAGGATACCAAATTTAATGACCCAGTCATCAAATTCACTGAAGATCAGGTTGARAAGCTGGATCTCAAGTATTATAATGCTGATGTACACAGAGCAGCTTTCGTTCTGCCTCAGTTTGCTAAAAAGGTAAGGGATTGTTACATAGGGATTACTACAGTACTTAGATGGGGATTATTAGTGTTATTTTGATGGATAGAAGTTTTTAATTTCTGCAGTCTGTGGAAATGATGCTAAAGGGTTTACTATTTTAGT